CGGCCCCGCTCGGGCGCGGCTGCGCGGCCACCGCGGGGCCTCCCCCCGCAGCAGCGGCCGGGATGCGCCCGAGCCGCGCCGAGCATCCGCCGGAGCCGCGCCTTCCACCGGCCCGGGACAGCTTCCACCGGCCCGGGACAGCTACCACCGGCCCGGGACAGCTTCCACTGCCCCGGGACACCTTCCACTGTCTAGGGACATGTTCAACAGCACCCGGGACACCCTCCACTGTTCCAGGGACCTTCCACCACCCAGGGACACCTTCCACTCTCCCAGGGACACATTCAACAGCACCAGGGACACCTTCCATTGACCCGGGACACCTTCCACTACTCCAGGGACCTTCCACCACCCAGGGACACCCTCCATTGCCCAGCAACACCTTCCACTGCCCAGGGACACCTTCCATTGCCCAGCAACACCTTCCACTCTCTCAGGGACACGTTCAACAGCACCCGGGATACCCTCCACTGTTCCAGGGACCTTCCACCACCCAGGGACACCTTCCACTGCCCAGGAACACCTTCCACTATCCATGGACATCCTCCACTGCTGAGGAACACCTTTCACTGCCCCAGGGACACCTTCAACTGCCCCAGGGACACCTTCCACTGTTCCAGGGACCTTCCACTGCCCCAGGAACACCTTCTACTCTCTCAGGACACCTTCCACTGCCCCAGGACACTTCCACTGCTCAGGGACCCCTTCCATTGTCCCAGGCTGCTCCAAGCCCCGTCCAACCTGGCCTGGGATATTTCCAGGGATCCAGGGGCATCCCGTGCCAGGGTCTCCCCACCCACACAGCGAAGGATTTCTTCCATCTATCTAAACTAAAATTTCCTCCAGTTCCTCTCCAGCTTGTTCCAGATGCTGGAAGCCTGCTGTGGGCTCTGCACACAACCTTCTCCCAACAACCTTCTCTTCTCCCAACAACCCTCTCCCCAGCATTCCCAGCCTGTGTCCATGGAAGGTGCTCCACTTTCCACACAGCTGCGTGTTGATCCTCTGGATTTACTCCAGCAGTGCCCCTCCCCAAGCTCAAAGCTGCCCTTGGCATCTCCCCTCAGTGTTTTTCTCCCTCTGCCTCTGACACAGGTGGATCTGTGGCCAGGTTAAAGGATATTTTTTCCTGGAATATCGCTCCATGTCTGTTCCTGGGAAGAGCAGCAGAAGCAGTGGTGCCTCTGGGCTTTGACCTTGCTCAGCTGACACGAAGTTTGTCACGATGCAGCCGGTGAATCAGCATCTGGGAAAAGCAGCCTGGAGCCTGCTCCTCCTCACCAGGGTGCTGTCCTCGTCCTCCTTCCCTAAAAATGCTCCTTCCTTACCTGCTAAAATCACCTGCAACTCTCCCTCCTGGCTCGTTTATTTCCCTGCACTCACATGATTCGAAACAGTCTGAAATACCACAGGAAGTCTCCTCCTCCTCCTCCATCAGCTTCTCCCGACAACAATCTCCTGCTTAAAGAAGAATCCAGACATCCATGATGCCTTCTGGGAAGCTGCAGAAGCTCCAGCAGCCCCTGGTCCTGGTTTCCACCAGAGTTTCATTCAATTACCCTCAGCTGTACTGTTAAGATGAGGGTGGACAATCCTGCAGCATTTTGATGGAAATCTCCCTTTTTTCCAGTCATTACCTGAGGTGGATGTGAGGAGCAGGCTGGCAACAAAGCCTCTCACACCCTTCCTAAAAGCAATTCCATGGGGGAGAGTTAGCAATGTGCAGCATGTGATAAGCCATTATTACATAATGGGATTTATTCCCCTGGATTACCAATTATCCCTTTTATTTCTCTTATGTTTCAAGCTTTTACCCTGAATAGCAAATTTGTTAGTCATGACAAGTAGGGGCTTAGTCATAAAAGACGAGTCTTTGGATGAATTAATCCTTATTTTCCTCCATTATGGAGTGCTCATTTTGGAGTGAGATAAGCAAAACTCGATTTTTCTATTAGAGCAGGTATAATCTGCCATCAGGAAGAATGCAGAGAACCATCTTTTCTCAGCAGCTTTGTCACAAACAACGTGACATTGTCTGGAGTGCAGACAATACTGAATTGTCACCCAGCTGCTGCTATTTTTACTACTTATTACCAGATTAGGTGAAGCATTCTGGTAGGAACATGGATTTTCAGGCAGATTTGGGAGTGATCAGCACCTCCCTGGGTCTGTGAGCTTCTCCCAGGCTGGGCTGGGTGCCTGAAGGTGGGATGGACAGTTTGGTGGGAATCTGCCTTATAAAAAACAATGAAAATACAGAAAAGCAGAGCTCAAATACTTCAATTGTTTTCACCTTCATTCATTTCTTCCACCTCTCAAACCATGTCATTTTTCAGCTGTGCACTTAGAAGAAATCCACTTAGATATACATTTTTCTGAGCTTACTTACACCTGAACATATGAAAATTGCCTTCCTACCAGCACCACAAAAAGAGAACCTGGATGTTATCTCCTTTTCCCACCTTCCCAGCTCTCCAGCTCCTCTCACCCTGGCAGATCAGATATGGTCTGACAGCAAGTTCTGATTTTTCCTGAAGAAATTCCCCAGCTGAACCAACCTCAGCTTAGTAAACACCCAAGATATCAGAATAATGAATATGAATAATAAAGGAATAACAAACCCACTCCTTGAGGACTAGGTGCTCATAAAGGAATGAGCAAATTCCATTTCTCTGCAGGGGAGCCAAGGTGTTGATGCTGCAGGAAAACCAGGGAGGGACAGGTGACAAAGCAGGACAAGGATTGTGACAGAGGTGATCCAGCAGAAATGGGGGTGATGCCTTGCCAAGGTTGCCCTGGAGCAGAGGCTGGGCAGAGTTCCAGAATAAAGCAGGGATTGATTCAAGGATCTCCTCCATGGATGCACCTTGGGCAGCACAAGAGCCCAGCCAGGGCTGCACCCAGGATGAACCCAAATGGTCCCAAAATGCACGAGCGCTCCCGGGGTCTCTCCCTGGGATCAGCTCTGCTCCATGTGCACATTGCAGTTCAGTGTCCAATTCCAGCTCAGCCCCTGCACTCCCATCCTGCTTGTTTTTCTCTCTGCAGCCCACGGGGTTTGTGCTCCTGGCCTGAGATTTGGATCATTTGTCCTTGGGGCCCAGCTGGAGCAGGAATTGTTTTGTGTCCCTGCTCTGTGCAGAGAGCTCAGCAAGCCTTAATGTGAAGCTCAGAACTGCACACTGAAGCAGCACAGAGTCTGAAACTCAGAAAAGCTGAACCTGAGGCATCAAGGGCACACTTCAGCATTACCATTGCTCCCTTTCACTGCTGCCAGGCTCCAGGAATGGGCTCTGGATTTGGGAGGGAGCCGCAGGAGGAAGCAGCAAGGTTGAATTTCTGCTGTGCTGAACAATTCCGTGCAAGGAGCAGCCAGCGGTGCTGGCCAGGGGCGGGAGCTGTCAGCAGGCAGAGCAGCGATAATGCACATCCCATTGATCCCGGTGCCTCAGCAGCGGCCAGGGGCAGGAAATTTGATATCTTGGTGTCATCGGTGCTCAGATGTGGCTCAGGGGAAAGGGGTGCTAAAGGATTTCTCCCAGGAGAGACCAAAAGGGTGGAATCCCCGTGACAGAATGCAATTTTAAATGTCATCCCGAGTTAATGTCCCACGGACACTGAGAGTGCACCAGGGAATGTTTGCAAAGGCAGAGCATGAAAGTGTTTAGCAGGAATAAAAATAAATAAAGGCAGGCTGGAGAACAGGCAGAAATGAGCTGGAAATTGCTGACGAGGCAGCCAGGAGGAACTGAGGGTCAGGAATTATGTGCTCTGCATCCCCAGGGATCACCAAAGGCATGAACACATACCCGCAGCTCAGGAGGGACTGGGCTACAGGAACAATTAGCCAGACAGGGGAAAAATTCCACAGCAAAATGAACAGGATCTGCAGCACCGACACTCTCAGGATGATTATCCCAGACCCAGCATCTCCTTGGACCAGGTAGGTGAGGATTTCTTTGGGATCAGGGCCACAGGGCTCCTTTCTCAGACCTCCACAGGAGTTTGGATGTGGAAATGGAGCACTGGCACTCCAAAGATACTCCATGAGAAAGTGCTTGGGGCTGTGCTGGCAGGGATTGTTTCTCATTTGCAAGACACTTCAATATATCCTTACTTTAAAAAATGTAAAGTACACACATAAATCTCAATCTCCATATAAATTATTCACGTTATGCACAGTCATATACTTCGTGTTAACCCACCCTAAAAAAATGGGTTTGCTCAAAATAAATAAATCGTTTTACCACTGTATAAAACAGCAAAATGTTTCAGGTCATTATTGAGTGCACAGAACATTTTTTCCAAGTTACCATCTTTACATTTGGGTTAATAAATCACCTAAATAAAAGGGTTGTAACTCGGAAAAAAAAAAAAACAACCCCTGTTGTCTTTATGTTACAGGAAGTTTTAAAGCAAGCATAAAAATACCGAATGGGCAGGAAAGCACTAAAAACACCCAATCCCAAAGCACAGAGGCTCCATGGAGATGCAGAAAGAGTTAAGGAACATCGCAGGCAGCTGATGCCATCTTCTGGTGTCACTTACAGCGCTGATTTAAACGCCCCTGCGCCGAGTCGGGTTGGATCGGCATCAGGAGGAGGGAGCGCTGCTGTTTGCGGTGCCCTTTCCCCAGGGCAGGATTCGGGATCGGGATCGGGATCAGGATCAGCATCAGGAGGAGGGAGCGCTGCCGTTTGCGGTGCCCTTTCCCCAGGGCAGGATTCGGGATCGGGATCGGGATCAGCATCAGGATCAGGATGAGGAGAGCGTTGCTGTTTTTGTGTCCTTTCCCCAGGGCAGGGATCAGGAGGAGGGGAACACTGCTGGTTTCGGGGTCCT